ACTTAGAGAGCTATGCCTCAATTTCGCCATAAAGACCTGTTAGAAGGAGTCCTAATGATGATCACATGGCAGCTCCATCAATCTGATGATACGTTTTCCCGTTGAAGGTGAACTGCATCTGAGTAACATTACCTTCAGAAAGTTTTCCGGGAGAATTATAGGTAGGCTCAGTTGTGGTACTAGTTCACAACTATATGCCACTGTTTCCAATAGCGGAATATTCATAAACAATGACTGAGCGTCAAAGGATGACATCCATCTGTTGTTAAGATTCACTTCCATTATCTTCTCTATGAACTCGCAAATGTCTTTCATGCAATAAGTGCAGATGGTTTTACGCAGCGCCTCCAACCTCTCAACCACCCATGGGACTATCAAATGTTGCGGAGAACTAACCAAGTCAAATATGAGAGGCATTGGAGCGCCTTCCTTGTGAACTTTAGGGATGCCGTACAATCACGGTAGGTGTCCGCCTGAAGGTCTTAGCTTTTCGAATTCGTATTTCGTGATAACATTCACTTGCATCATTCGTCGGAGCAAATCGGTCAGTTGATTTTTGTAACTCTGTTTAATTAACCTAGCCGGCACATTTAGCATGTAACTGTCAGCATACAAAGTATGAGGAGAGTTACCGAAAAGAATTCTTTACTCAGTATCTGCCTCCTTTCGATTCATTTTACTAAACGGGAATTTTTGGATTACTGAAGATCAGCATCCACTGTGATTCAAGTAAACTCTAGCATATAGAAGCAAATGTTGGTAGCTCAGGTTATTCAGTTGGTTGTCTGATTGTTCGCTGAGCTCGGCAGGTTGACTGCAAACGTTTCGTCACCACTCGAGGTGACATCGTCAGTGCGCGTGTATTTAGCAGAGTGGCGCGTACGAAGCGTCAGTGAGTGTGAGTGATCGATCTCCTAGCCGCTAGTCTGGGTTTGGATTGTTCGACGAGCACATGACCATAGAAATCGATCTCTGATTCTCACCTCGTAGTGTACGCGCGTGTGACTCTTCGCTTGTCGTCGTTTGATGCAGTAGTCTAGCGCTCTGTTCCGTTAGATTTCTTTTACTAATTCGGGGATCTTTCATCCGTAGTGCTGTATATATAGCATCTATTTCAACGTGGCGGTTTATTGAACTGTCGGTAGAATACCATGTCTGTCGATGCGATGAATGAAGTCTTTCGGTTTGACACTGTGAGTAATGAAAAAGTTATCAGGCCACATTCATCAGCAACCTAAGCCAAAAGGACTAATAAGCGGCAGACAAGGTCAGGTAGAAAAGTTCCTTTTCCAGACCGCTTAGTGTACTATGCATCTTGACAATACCATCTTGTTGCGCTGGTCACTTGTCTGCACTGCCTGCTGCCAGTTTTCTTTCGCTTATTGTTTTCCAGCTTCTGCCAGGACGCAACAGACCATCCTTCGTAAAAGCAGCAGGAAGAACAAGATTGTGACACTTAGGAACAATGGAATTACCATCACCATCCATTACTATCCTCATTTTGTTCCCAAACTTTTCTCTGTACCCTAGACATAGAAGCTTAACCTGCATACCTCCCATGCCTCAGTCTCGGGCGACACTGTACCAGATAGAGGTCAGATTTTACCGGCCATTCCCACCGGGTTTTTTACTGCTCGTTTGAACATCGTGCAGCTACCGCACTGGTGGGGAGGTATGTAGAGCCATCACGCATTTTGACCAACACGTCACCAGTAGGATACCAACTGTTAAGCTGACATTTCCTCCTGTCATATCGACTAATATTCAAAAACCACCCGACATCATCGATCGTAGAATTTTGAAGTTGACTAGTTAAAGAAGCTTTACCATCATCACGCTTCTTTTCATGTTCTTCCGTGATTATTCGTGGGAGCATTAAACTACAACAATGGGAATACATGCTTTTACTTCTTTATGGCATCCAAAGACGACGGGACATTAACTCCGAACTCCGCACCTAACCAGCGCTCCTACAATCTCAAGCTATGGTCAGAAGTAGCTAGTCTTGAGGACGCGGACAGGCTCCAAACGACGCTGGACCAGCTGCACGATTGGTCCGTCAAGTGGCAATTACCCGTTAACTACGACAAATGGGCTGTCCTTCTGATTGGTAACCCGGATTCATTCGATGTACACCACATTGGCAGATATCTTCTCAAGAATGTCATGCGCGATGAGGATCGGGGTTATCGTGTCACATTACTTTAGAACTCCTAAAAACACCTGGAGAAAGGTCGCGACCGCAAACAGGATGCTGGGTGCTCTACGGAGGTCGTTCTCCCGTATCACTCCGGCAATTTTTAGAACTCTTCACATCACATATTCGCCGGTATTGGAGTATGGGCTTCCAGCTACCTATCCTCTTAAAATCTGTATGCGACTTGCTAGAAAGAGTTCAGAGGCGTGGCTCGAAATCCGTCATAGAGCTTCAAGATCTTGCTTACTCTCTTCGACTCCGAAAGCTGAGCATGTTTCCAATGGAGTATCGTCGGCGCCGTGGAGATCTTATCTACATCAGACGGATTATACGAACTTGGGAGTGAGGTACAAAAGCCCTTTCGACTCAACGTGGATGGCTCGACCCGAGGCCACAAGTGGAAGTTGTACAAGAGCCGGTTACTTCACGTCCGTCCAGAGGCTGGCTTATCAATTCGTGTAGTCAATGATTGGAATAGCTTGCCGGAGATCATTTCAGATGCACCGACAGAGGAAAGTTTCAAACGGCTGCTTGACTGCCATCAGATGAGTACGGCAGGGCGCTGCTGCTCCTACTGCAACGGCGACGATCTCCAGAGGATTGTCGCTTCGCAGCCAGTTGCGTCAAACTTGCACTGAATCGGAATCGACTGTGCTGACACAGATCTCCCCTCCTGCACTCTACACATTAATGAACCAATGACAACGTAAACATGCTTACTTTGGCTGTTCCAAGTTTCATGGAACCCAGCCCAGAGGTTTGGTTTGCGATATTCGAGATCGAACTGGAAAATAAGCGCGTTCAGGCGGATCATCCGAGGTACAATCAGCTCGTCCCACGCCTTCCTTCGTCGGTTGTGGCGCTGGTTGAGGACATTCTCCTCCGCCCCTCGAATGGGGCAATGTATGAAACAATGAAGCAAGCGATTCTAAAGGAGTTACAGCCTAGCGTACCAGCTCAGTTTGAACAGCTCATTGGTCTCGAGCTGGGAGATCGCAAGCTGTCGACGTTGGTCCGTGAAATTCGGCGCATCGTTGGTCCCTTATTCTTGTGCGAAGAAGGGATAAGGGAACTGTGATTTGCACGTCTCCCAGAACCGTTCCGGTAATGCTGTCCACCTTTCTGGGATACTCCCCTGAAAGAATTAGTTACCAAAGCAGACGCTGCGTTCGAATGTCTTCCGCAGCAGACGACCAGTAGCTCCGGTGACGTATTCTCCCCGATGAAAACCGAGTCTCATATTTGCTCCAAATTGTCAGGCCGATCTGACCCTAAAGACGAGGAAATTGCGCTACTACGGAGCAGGATAGCAGCAATAAAGGCTTCGAAGCAGCGTACACCACGGTTAGATGCAGACTACGTCTTGGCTACGGTTCATTGCGGCTCGTCTGTGCCTGCACCGAGTACGTCTCGTTTGACAAAAAGCGCGGCATTTTCTCCGCACGTTCCCAGTCCAATAATACCAAATCCTTCGAGGAAGTATGTTGGTATCACCGCTAATATGGTAGAAGAGCTAGACGTTGTCGGTTTCCCTGAATTAGGCACGACTCAGCCGCTTCAGGGAAAGCAAATAGCCCGCATACTAGCACGACCAACGCATCCGTCAAAAACCAAACAAATCGACTTTCTCCCATCACGTTCCTCATCGACACGGGAGCAGAAGTTAGCGTCATCCCTGAGAACGCAAACGACAAGCACTCAAAGCCTAAGTTCAACCCGCGTGCGGCCAACGGTTCTCAGATAACTTCATTCGGTCAGCGCATGATGAACCTGGACCTCAATCTCTGCCCTCGAATTTCAGTGGTCTTCGTGGTTGCGTCTGTACCCTTCGCAATTATCGCTATCGACTTCCTCCGATATTTTGGGTTGCTTATTGATGCTGGTCGCCACAGACTTTTAGACGACCGTACTAAACTAGGGGTTGAAGGCGTTCTTACGGACGTCCCGATAATCAGTCCCGTTTTCCGAATCGCCGACGTACCTTCAGATTATGCGAACCTACTGTCTGAATACCCGCGACTGATACAACCAGCTGCAGAGCTTCCGCTGGTCACGACAGAGGTCGCTCATCACATAGTCACGCGTGGTCAGCCAGTTAGCGCACGACCCAGACGGCTTGCTCCTGACAAACTACGTGCAGCACGAGCTGAATTCGACCACTTGCTTCAGCTCGGTATCGTTAGACCGTCTAACAGCCCATGGGTGTCACCTCTGCACATGGTCCCGAAGAAGGTCATGGGGGACTGGCCTCCTTATGGTGACGTAACCGCGCCTGATCGCTATCCGATCCCACATGTCGTGGATATCGCCGCTAGTCTGGCAGGTAAAAACGTTTCAGTAAAATCGATCTGGAGCATCCTTACAACCAAATTCCGGGAGCCGAAGCGGACATCATGAAAACTGCCTTGACGACTCCCTTTGGCTTGTTTGAGTTTTTACGCATGCCATTCGGTCTAAAGAATGCCGCGCAAACTGTTCAGCGCTTCATCGACCAATTTTGTCGCGACCTAGACTTGCTTATGCCTACCACGACGACACCTTGATCGCGAGCTCCAACACGGGATGACGATCAACGCAGAAGTGTTCGTTTTGTGTCGATCCGGTCAGTTTTCTCGGCCACCATATCTCTCCTGCAGGCGTCGTGCCACTACAGGATAAAATTAAGCCCATCATCGACTACGCTGAGTCTCACTCTTTCAAACAACTAAGACGCTTTGATGGCCACGTCAACTTTTATTGCCTTTTTATACCTAGTTGCGCTTCACTTATGCAACCGCTCACGGACCTTCTCCGATATTATTGTTGCAGCACGAGCCGCTTTCCAGGCTTGGAAAGAAGCTGTCGCCAACATAGCTTATATAGCGCATCACGACCCGGGAGCCCCACTGCAGCTTAGTACCGACGCTTCTGACGTGGCAGTTGGGGCAGTCCTACTACAAAAGGTAAGTGACGCTTGGTAACGTTGTCGTTTTTCTTCAAACGTTTGCAACCTTCCGAATCTGATTGCAGTACTTTTGGTAGGGAACTATCAGCCATTTATTTATCCATACATCATTCCCGCCATGTCTTAAAATACTGCTTCTTTGCCGTCTTCACCGGCCACAAATCCCTGACTTACGTGCTTAGCTCGACTACCAACCGACTACCAACTCTCCTAGAGAGTAGCGCCACCTAGACTATATTGCTCAGTTTACGATCGATATACGACATGCCCCAGGTGTGCACAACACTGTTGCCGACGCATTTTCTTGTATTCAAACGATCTCCGCTATCGACTTGGCAGCCACGGCCGCAGCGCAATTCAATGATCCTGAGGTTGATATCCTACGCAGGTCTCCCTCACTAACATGATCAGACGGAACTATACTTTGCGATTTATCTCTGGGCACACCGCGCGTAGTCGTCCCACGCGAGTTTCGGCATACCGTGTTCGACACGTTGCACGGATTCTCATTTAGGCGTTCCTGCATCGGTTAAACTCGTAAACACGTGGTTCATCTGGCGCACTGCCAATCGTGACGTTCGTACTTGGGCAGCTGCGTGCCTTCCGTGTCAAAGCGCGAGGGCGTAAGCGCACGAAAAGCTCAGTAGGAACCTTCTCCACGCCAGATTGCACGTTTCCGCCACGTGCACGTCGACCTCGTAGGTACTCTGCCGCCTTCGAAAGGCTCTGTATATCTAATGACCTGTGTCGATCGATTCACTAGGTGACCGGAAGCTATTCCCATACCTAACTGCTCTTCGGAAACGGTAGCGAAAACTTTACGGGAGCGCTGGGTAGTTCAATCTAGCTGTCCAGCCATCGTGCCCACCGATCGAGGGTCACATTTCTCTTCGACTTTTGCCACGTTGCTTAAGGATTTAGGCTGTCGCCACGTTCATACGACAGCGTATCATCCAGCCGCTAACGGCATGGTGGAGTGTTTTCACCGCCAGTTGAAGACGTGTGCACGCAGATCCTTCATGGTCTGAAACGCTTCCTCTCGTGCTCATAGGCTTAAGAAACACGGTTAAAACCGACTTCGACGCAACGCCAGCGTAGCTACTTTACGGTTGCACGCTGCGTTTGTCTGGACAACTGATGGCACCAGTTCCGTCTACTTGTTCCTTTGATTACGGGAGTTACACCGACCCATTGGCTCACCAGATGCGTGAGCTACGTCCGACCGCTTCACAATGGCAGAAGACACCAGTGACGTGCCTGAGAAGCTGTGTGCGTGTTCACACGTCCTTCTTCGCGCAGACGATGTTCGACATCCTCTTCAGTCGCCGTACATAGGACCCTTCAAAGTGCTACACCTTACGAATAAGACGTACACGATTGACCGCGGTTGCCGACGCGAAGTCGTCACTGTCGATCTCCTCAAACCGGCTTTTATCGACGAGGTCGCTGAGCATATGGCTACTTCGAACGCTTCGTGTGACGCTACGAATGTATGTATGTATGTGGGTTTTCGGTTCTGTCCTAATGCCTTTCTTTCTCATATAAATGTCTAGTGGGCCATGAGCTAGGCCCTTTGGGGCCACTACAGAAGCGACGACGGGTCCTGCAGAGAATTACGGCGAGGCGGCGCAGCGTTTGTAGGCACGCTGAATTCGATTTACTAACCGCGTGCTTGCATGCTAAGTCTCTTTATTTCAGGTGGTGGGTTTACAGTTTTTACCTTAATGCTTTTCTTTCCCATATAAATATCTCCCTGTACTCTATTCCATTAACTTGCACACATCGCCTAAGCCAATTGTATTCGATTTCCATAACATTTTTGTGTTCGTGGCATTCCGTGAACTATACTTCCTGACCTCGTGCACTTATCTAGGATTTGTTTGTAAACAACTTATTACATATGCTCATTAAATTAAGGTTTATATCACCGTTTCCTTATGCATTAATCGAATTTTTCTCTCTTTTTTCTTCCTCTTTTTCTCTATCAAGTGTTTGGCTGTTGTTTGATATCCCCGGTGTGGCTGCGCTTGATGTGCATGTTGACAAGGTGCCTACCTGTCTATTACCCACTACCTCGTCCATACTGCTCCAGGAGACAGTTGGTCGTTGCTGGAGGGGACAGGGTGCACGGTCCTTGTGGCCATGTTAGGATCAAAGAGTGGTTCCATGCAGTCAGTGTGGAGCGGACTACGGTCCAGCCACCGCCTTGTGTGCGTTTGATTCCCAAATACAGTGTGCTTGTGTTTGCCTGTGAAAGAGTGTGGGCCGGCTCCGTTGATGAAACGTGGTTCCCATCCGCATGCCTCCCGGTCTTATTCCTTCGGGTTTACACTGGATATGGGGTGTGTGGTTGGAGCTGTGGGTGGTGCAGCGCAAGCCATCCATGGTCCCTCTGTAGGCGCAGGCGTCCTGTGGCTTGCCACAGTGACAGGCAAATCCGAAACCGGATGCCGCCAACCATATAATCTCAACAGTCTAGCCACTAGACATAGAGCCAACAAAGCCATGGAGATTAGCAGATAAGGGGAAGTCACTGCGTCATAATCATCGTGGCATAGTAGTTGAAGGTGGGCAACATACTCCAGCTACTATGCCACAGGAAGAAAGGAACATTTTGACGAAAGTAGATTAAAACCTTTTTGTAAATCTGATAAGGCTCTCATCCCAGTAGTTTACAAGTTACATAGCAGAACCTTGTCCGGAAAAGCGCAGACGCGTTTCGCCCTATTGGGGCTCGTCAGTGGCGTGCATTCCCCCGGTCCTCTAAGGAGGATCGAACCCATGACCGCTAGAGGCAGATGCCAACTAGCCAGCAGCTTAAGCCACTGAGCCATGGGGGACGTTGGCTAGGCTACATAATTTGCAAACTAACTGGGATATCGCACCACCTATCTACCACTGTCACTGACAGTGGTTAACCTGCAAGGTGATGACGTCCTCTCACTAGACGCTATTACTATAGCAGTCATGGGTTCGATCCTCCTTAGAGGACCGGGGGAATGCGCGCCACTGACGAACCCCAATAAGGCGAAACGCGTCTGGCGCTTTTCCGGACTAGGCTCTGCTATGTAACTTGTGAACTATTGGGATGAAAGCCTTATCAGATTTACAACTAAAATCCTGCTACTCATGAGTACTATAAAACCTTTTTGTTTGTTTTCACACGCCGAAGTTTCTTATTCTTTTATCATTTTCAATGTTTGAAGTATTAAACATGTGAATCAATACAATTCTGTACACAATTCTTCCATTGACTCCGGTTGTGAGTCATGTCTTTAAGAGTGTTAAGCCATTGGCGCTCCTCATATTTGGGTCCCCATCCTGGAAGAGGTACGGGTCCAAGAGCGTCTAGACACGTCAGCGATTTCATGTGCTGTCGCCAAGTAGAAGGCTGACCACCACGCAGTCGTCTCCAGCTAGGTCATTGACGAGCGAATAAAGCGCCACGCGGTGGACGCTCAGGTGCTATGCGTGGGACATGACCGAGCCATCTCAACTGGGGCAGCAAAACCAGTTTGTTGAAGGGAATACTCGCATTCCCCAAGATGCGACGTCGAACGTCATTACTATTAACTCGATGTTGCCACCAAACACGAGCACTCATCCTTAAGCAACCGTTATCGAACGCAGAAAGACGACGCATATCTTCCACGCGAATCGACCAGGACTTGCTCCCATACAACAACCCTGAGCAAACAAGTGAGCTGTGAACGCGGCCCTTTAGCGAGTATGAGACGTCGCGACGACGCCACGAGTGCCTCAGATTGGCAAATGCTGATCTGGCTTTAGCGATGCGAAGAGAAACTTCTTTGCTGATAGTGCCGTCAGCAGAAACACAGCTCCCAAGGTAGACGAAACTATTTATTTGTTCAAATTGTGCACCTTCGAGAGTGAGCACGGGAGCAGGTATAAGCCAATCCTTGAGCAGTACTTACACTTCGATTGGGCGAAGCTCATGCCATACTTAGATGCTTCAATCGCCAAACGATCCAGAATGAGCTGCATACCTTGAGGATCGTCACCAAGTAAGGCGATATCATTAGCATAATCTAAGTCAGTCGCGTGCTCACTTGGTAGAAACCAAGCCAAAATGTGGGAAATCTTCTAGAGCACTCGACAGAACATCTTTGATTGCGAAGTTGAAGAAGAATAGGGACATAGGGCAGGCTTGTTGCACACCGCTACTGACAGCGAATTGCGAGGAAAGCTTGTCATATACCCTCACTCTGCCGGAGGTACAAAGGTAAAGTTATCGTAAGATGGCGGTATATTTTTCTGGCACCACGTTCTTTAGCAAGCAACGCCATAAAGCAGGTTGATTAACGGAGTCAAAAGCGGTACATATGTCTAGGAGTGCAACGATAGTGGGCCTGTGATAAATGTGGCGATGCTCGAGGAGCTGGCCGAGCGTGAAGATTTGATCCACGCATCCGCGGCCGGGACGGAAACCAGCTTGTTCTTCACCGTAGGATGATTCACGTTTTGGGGATAGTCTACGGGGCAGAATGAATGCCAATAGCGTGGAGGTAACCAAGATAAGACTAATCCCGTGATGATTTACACATGAAGTACGAGCACCTTTTTTCGTTCCTTAGAACACCGTGGTAGTACGTCAGCGAAGCATCGGTCCAAATAGCTGATGCGATTTTGTTGATGATGATGATGACACTGTAGTGTTGACTGGTTATCTGTGCGTCCAATTGAAAAATTGTCCGCTGGTGAACTTGCTCTGAACGGCTAGCATGGTGTAGGTTTCCGCACTGACAACAGTTAGCGGTTCCTACATTTGTTTGTAGATGCTCGCGAGCACTAACTTCCGACGTGGCACCCACAGAGAGGTAACATGACATGCACAAACATCGGACCAGTCAGACGCAAATTGATCACCTCGCGATCAGTTACCGTCGGAGCGGTTGTAATAGCGTATGTGTCCATCTTTGGATGCGTTTCGGCGGACACCCGCAACAGCATTGTGGGTGCATAGACGCCCGCCATCTGATAAAGCCGGATGTTCTCAGCACGTATCAAAATGCACTGGCATCCGACTTGCGTAAACACTCCATGAAATCAGTTAAAGGTCCCTGGTCATATGTTTACCAAATGTTATTAGCAGCACACGTCTTCATGTTGTAGATCTGATTACCAACCTAAGCATAGGGTCTCTACACAGTCTCTGAAACTTCTGGATTCTCACCGATACATCCCAGCTGGGAGCCAGCACAGTGAGACACAAAGCTATCACGTCAAACGCGCGTGCTAGCCTGATATTCTCACTAACATAAACTATCCTGCTGTGCGTTTCCCGAATCAGACGAAACAACTCCATGTTTATCAAGAACAACAATTATTTCCAACTCCGACACACGAACTATCAGGCTAGCATGAGATCGGACCGTCTATTCACAACTGTCAAAAGGTTTGATGTTGGGCTGAGCTCTTTGAAGAGGGATTTAATCGGCCGGAACTACCAGACACGCTGTAGTCCAGTGATAACCCTTATCCCTGGACTGTCTCTTTGGATCCACCATCTCACTCCGAATTCGAACTTGAGATCAGCCTTCTGAAATTGTATAGGGCCGCAGGACCCGATACGCTTCCTCTAGGTCTCTTCAAATTCGGGGGACCAGTTCCTCAGATTATTTGCACAATTCATAAGTGAAACTGTGGAATCAGAAAACTGTCCCAGCCGATTGAAGCTGCTCTGGTATTCAAGGAAAGTTCACATTTGGGGTGCGGTAGTCATAAGGAGATCAGTCCGATCACAACTGCTTTTACGTTACTTACCTCAGTCGCTCTTTACGGACTGCTGCGTCTGCAAAAACCAGATTTGTAAGTAGCGTCAGGTTTCGTCGAAATCGAGACTACATTGATCGCATCCTTGCGCCAGTTATTGGAGCACTGCAATTTACATTGACGATCCACCCTAGTCGTATTTCTCGACGCTAAATGTGCCTTCGATTCGGTAGATCGATGCGCCTTTGGAACTTTGGGCAGGAATTACGTGAACAATATAGGAGCGCTTTGCGCGTACCTTTCGGTAGAGTGAGGTATTATGGCAAATTGTCATCAACCTTCACTATCTACAGTGATATGAGGGAGATGCCTGCAGTTACCTTTTCAACTTCACCATTGATGAAATTACGGAAACTGCGTCCACTAGACACGACTAAGATGTGGAGTTTCTGCACGACGGCATTACTCAGAACTGTGACAGCTCACAAACGTGCTAAGCAGCACCAGACAGATTAACACTGGCTGCCAGTCGTTTTTAGCCTTGCTCTGCTTAACAAAGACTGTCACTGTGCTGACCCTTGATGCGGATCAGCTGTCATTCGAAATTCAACTACCTAGGCTGCTGTAACAGCACCTGCGGAATAAAAGATGAGATCACGAACCGTATGACAAATGCTCAAGGTGCTTTTGCTAATCTTCGCCACTTGTGAGGCAGGCGCGACATCACTCACGCCTTCAAAAGCCAGTTCTACAATAGGCCGTAATTTCAATTCTGCTGTTCGGTTGCAAAGCCAGCCGTTTTTTCAACGGTTACGAAATCAGGCTAATCAGGTTAACGGGTGTAGAGAGACTACCTGGTGTTCAACTACGGGTGTTTTCGCTGTTTAGTAGGGACAATGTGTGGACAATGAGCGAGTTAACCGTTCAACACCACTGATTCATGCACCAGATTTCGATGGCTGGGTCATGTTTTACGAACGGCAGCATACTGACTTCAGTGACGTGCGTTGCTTGAACGACCGGAGTGTGGATAGAAGAAGAGCAAAAGAGGCTAGGCAACAACTTAGCCCAAAGAAATGGAAATTCTTGCCCCGGTTAGTGCCTCCCGAACCCTGGGTTGGGATCCGAAAGACGACGAGCACGTATGTTCAGGGACACATACTAGCATGACGAAGGGGCATTCTTAGTTGCTTTGTCCCTCTCCCAAATATCGTCCCTTCCAACCGCGATTTCAATTTCGACGCATGGTATAGGATAAAGCACGGCATTATCCTCGTTCTGTTCTATTATCATTCTTGCTGCCATCTAATCGTGCTGTATTGTGGCACTGTAGTTAACGTGCAGAATGATAATGACAGTAAGCCACTGAGATAAATTTTTGGTAATATTTGCTAACTCTTCACATGATAGGCGTCATATTCTGGACATCTTCCATTTGGAAAACACCGGTATTGCTGTGGATTACTACTGCATAGATAATGCCGATCGGAGAGACAAAAGTGGTTAGTTGGTGAGCGGCCGCCAGGTGTGAAGGTACCGCAGTTAGCATCCTTAGAAATAGAACTCCGAGGCATGGGTCCCAAATAGCTCTTACTGTTAATTCCTCCCTGTTGATATGCGTAACAGTGGATTCCTCAAGATACCTGTGTCCATAACGTAACAACCTATTGTCTTTACGCCATCTGCTTTTTTCGATGAATCTGTCTTATCACAACACAGAATATTTAAATGCGATGGAACAACGAGATGGATTGTCCGATCAATATGGTGGCTATAGACTTGCTATTGGGACTGTTACATCTTCGTGGGTAGAATATAGAATAATCGGCTCTATCAACAATCTCATGTACCATGGCCGATATGTAAACGACATATTTTGTGTCGCGGATGGCCGTATGTGCATCAATGATCTGTTAGTCCAACTCAACACTGCACATTAACGACACAGCGCTTACCATCGAACTGGAACGCGAAAACTTCATGGTATTCCTGAATACTCAGATCATCAGGAGAGCGGTTTGAGGCGGTCAGTTCATTCATTTCGCTAGCTACGTTGCATTGAGTCAGAAACGAAAACGGGGAGAGCGAGGATATGCATGAAGGATAGGCGAAATGAGTTTCACTCGAAGCGTTTTCGAACGAAATCGTCCGAAGGTACATGGAGACACAGACACGAAAGGTTACACCCGCGACTGCATGAAAGTAGCTGATCTATTACCTGCCATCAAATCCTAAGGGCGATACAGTAGCGGGTCGAAACACCCGAAGGCTCTCTATTTCCACCATAAGAATGTACTATGCAGCTGATATCCGTGTCATCTACATTTTAATGCTAATCGTGTGTCAAGTCAAAGTGTTCTCCTGCATTGACTAAGCGACCAGGTGATTGTCCGAAAAGCCTGGAACGCTGCTCAGCGCGGCCCTATAGTAGTGCGAAGAACTCAGTGACTACCGTGCAAGACGCATTTCAGCCCATTTACTGGATCTCTGGATATCGCACGTAAACACTCAGGTGACACGTATTAGCCATGGCAGAAGCGATCGCTATTCAGTTCCAGAATCCGGACGTGAGCGCAAGAAATTCGCCCAAAATCCTTCACCTAACGTGGTCACAAGCCGTCTCATCGAATAACGCGATCACATAACAATATTCGTTAGATACTTCATCTCATCGGGTTCAAATATTGTATGTTTTATTGTCACGTATCTGTTGTAGTGTACAAGCCTGGTTTTGCTCAAATATCCTTCTCGGGGTTAATTCATCAGCTGAGACTCGTATACCGAGAACGGCCTCGGATCCAACAGCGTCTCTACTTTTCCGAGGCAAACGGAGCGTTTCAGCTCCTGAAGAACCTTTTTGTCTTCTTTTGTGCTCTGTTATGACTATAAAGAAAATCCACTTGCCAGTCAAAAACCACAAGTCTAATTGCATTTTATTCTTCATTCCCATGCAGCTCCAACTCCATATCGTGACAAATGAAGGTAATTCATCCCAAAAGTCGGAAAGCGGAGCAATTCAGAAAGCGATTACACCATGAAATTCGGACTTTAAAGTACGAGGTCATTTACCAAGCGTTTCGAGCTATGTAAAACAGGAAGCGAAAACAACATAGCCACAAGGACAAACTGCTCGGTAAGATCTCTTTCTCTGACTGCTTTGTGCATGCTGTTTTGCTTTATGCAGAACAGAAATTAAAATGGTTTAAAGAGAACTTTCCCGTCGGTCGGACACACCTCTCCCATATTGAGCAAGCGGAATTAATCGAACGGTGGGTACATGCACACGCGGGTGAAATAATGTGCCTAAATCAATAGATACTTGCGAAGATCAAAAGGCAACGTTCCAGACGCCAGCCAACCGATATCCGTGACTGTGGATATGGCCAACGCGTTTAATAGACAAGAATACGAGGAGTACGCCACTTGTGGAATTCGAGTACCTGATCTGACATCCAAGGTGAACGTCCAAAAGCTCCTGTAAGTTATTCATTATTCACCGAATGTTAAAATTGTCGGTTTACAGCCTTTGGGAGAATGACCACACACAAATACCGGCCATCGCTTTGAAGACAATCAAGAGGTCAAAAAAATAAGTATATTTAACATGTTTATCTGTACAAATGAAGTCTCCCATCCATCAAGCCATTTTGCGCCTTTTCTCACGTTGATGCACTACAAGGGTTAGATTTGGACTAAACGATGGAGAAAATCACACCTTACCTTCGCATTTGCTCGATCTCTCGGGATCCATTTTCCAACAACATGTTCTGCAGAATGAATTGGGACAGTGTGTTCCCTGAAATTGGTGAACGCGGAAATTAGTTAGCGTGAGGTTAATTCGGATGTGTTGGCGCCGAACGCTCTTTGGTAGAGCAATCGCATATCAAGAAAATTTGAAAAAATGCATCTTTTAATATTGACTATAGTTATTTGTTGCAAAGGCTTGCAGATATCAAGTAATCAAAACGCAACAGAGATCAGATTTTCTGGAAGGTAATTCCGGCCATTTGAACCAAGGCGAGCGAGAAAAAAATCAAAACAATTCAGCGAATAAACGAATTGAAGAAGAGAGAAACGTTATAGGCATTCAGCTATCTCATAGTCGTTTGGAACGCCGGAACTACATCTGAATTCCGCGATAGCACCTATTAATAGAGCAACACATCTACCCGGATACGCTCGGATATTGGCTCAGCGAGTAAACGAGTAGTCACTGGGAACTAGTCTAACAAAGCCGCTTTAGCGCGGAAGTGCAGAGCAGTGCCCACACTGGCATTCGGAGTTGCATCATCTCCGGCTAGATGCAATGAGGTAGTGGCGCCATCGTCACTTGAAGTGAATCGTATGGTATACACAGCTGGCGTCTTGCAGGCGGTTTTCTGTTAAACAAGTTATCGATCAATAGGGATTTTTAATGTCCGGGCAAGTGCTGCCTGTTGACCGATTTCTAACGAAATGCGCGAGGACTCCAGATAGAAGCGGATAAACAGGTTGTCCGTATGGTTGAATCCATTGCGACGAGACTGGATCTTAACGTGATGCTAGGGTTTGCGTACCTCCGTGACCCATAGAGCTACACTGGGTGGCACTTTCCGTGTTCTCAGAGCTCCTCACATCAGACAGGCCAAAGGTTAGGACTAAGTCCCACAATCCAATCCTCTTCGGAGGTTAGAAAGAGTTTGATGACCTTCTTCCTTTAAAACAACAACTACGGCTTATAAGCTCACAGCTAGATTGGCATAGAGCACGTTTGCCACGCACTGTCTCTGATGGTGGTGGGGGGCACCTTCCAGTGCTCATTGGTTTGCCCACCCGTCTTAAGCCAGGCAGCTCCTGATCTAATTGGTGCAGACCCACCAACTCCCACCTGCGGCTGGCCGTGGTCGCAGGTGCGTAACATAATACGGCCGTAAAACACGTGTGCATTGTTCTAAATCTTCGAAGGCTGTGTGTGACAGGCCTCAAGCAGGTCTGCAATCAAACTTCCGAGATTCCAGTGCTTTTGGATCAGGCTATTGAGTCAAAGACGCCGGGTGGAGTCCTTAAACAGCCTCCATACCCCCCACTGCCTTGTGGGTCAGACTGTTGAGTCGAATGTGAACAAAAACCTCTCTCGGAATAGGCAGCTTTCTCGACTATGTCTATTGAGCAACAGTGCCGTTGACTTCGCAGCTGCTACCATCGACATATGTAGCTCTTCTATTAAGCCTAGTTTCATTTCACATTGATACTTTTAACGTTCTCACTCCAGGTCAGATCGGCCAGCAGGCAACTGTCTCCGACACACATACAAGATGACAGCGTTGTGACGAATCTTCTGAATCCATTGACCATGATTACAGTCTTCGCGTCTCTTGCGATACTGACTCAATGGCTCAACGTGTTTACAATGTGTCGGTATCGTCTTCACGCTGAAAGCAATCTAATCGACTGAATACTAGTGAACAGCCCCATGTGTGCGGTTCCACTTCGAACTCTTGCTGGAGTTAATAAGCATGGTCTACAGTCAAGGTACCTTGGCATCACATCCGTTTACGTCTCTACTGACCCGTATCAAAGACGATTTCTATCATCAGCTTTCGTCTCTCCTCCGCATGACGAAACGCACTGTCATAGTGGATGGAAAATGGGTGTTGCCCGCCCGAAAACACTGCACAACGACAACGCGTTTCGATGTAATTTCATCTCATCAGGTGGAGACAGCAGGTTTCGAGCCCGCCACCATTGGAGTAGTAGTTGAAACCTCTACACCTTTGGCTACCGGGTCACGGCGGGCAACGCTTGGTACAACGGTAAATGACTAATTGGTGGGTCACGTTTGGATCACATGTTGTGTGATTGGATTGCGACTCGCAGTCTCAATGCAATGGACCGTAATTCACATGGAAGTGAATCGTAGTCACTGCGATCCCTACTTGGTGTATCCACACAAACGTGTTCATCATCCTTGGGACCCCAGCCCTGCAGGAGGGAGACACCAAGTCATCGCTTGACCTACCCTCCTCTTCCACCCGGACCCCAGTCGCGCAAACAACGCACGTCGCTGGAATCTGTATGCTGGCATGCGCAACGTGTCGCCCAGCCGTCGGAGCCTGGCGCGTGATATGCCAGATATAACTGTTTTCTTGTATACTACAGTACAAAAAACAGTTTCCGCTTCCCACTAGTAACTTAGCCCGTTAGTGAAGTTCGTGGGAACACATGCGCCGATGAATTGGTACGTCTTCCTCTAGTGATGCGATCGCCCCCAGGTAAAAGGTGCTGAATTTCTATATTACCACTGTTTCGGTAAAATGGCTGACTAGCGCTTGACTTCGTTCCGAAACCTACGGATCAGCTGATGGCGCAAACTGGAATCGCTGAGTCAGGTCATTTTTCAATGTAAACACCCAATGTCATTGCGCTGACGAACGGAACTTAGTAAATCAGTGATCAAATAAGTGAGCAATGAAAGCATTTTTCCCAACATCCTGATATCGTGCACCATTTACAGGACGCTTACCTTCCGGTTTGACTGACAATTGGAACACAGCAGATCGGCCAACTGTTTCGCTTGCAATTTGCACATTTTCCTTGCTCGCTTCGCATCACGGCGATTCCGTCTGTCTTGCTGCAACTGTAGCTTACTAGAGTCAATGGAAGCAGTTTCGTGGTCTTGTTCACTGGCTGCGACGGGTTTCGATTCAGGTTGTGATTCGGTGTGAGACTTGGGACGCTCGTAAGGTTGGCAAATCCAATGCGGATGTGGGATTGACGCGTCTCGGTTTTTCGAACAAGACTGAGACGAATACGTAGAAAGATGGGATAAAAGCTAGGTAAGATAAGTTGTTCTGGATCAGTGGGAATAATGGCAACAAAACTGATTGTTCGGCTGATGGATCGGGAATTTCAAGGATATACTAGATGAAGTAGCCTGTAAAGATATGGTTGATGGTCATGTTTTAGAAGTCTGCGTGACCTCTTGTGGATCATTTATAACGCAAGACTTCGCAAAATAGCTTTGAAAGCTGTCGCCGACGCCTCTTGTAGAGAATTGTCAACTCATCGCCCAACTTTCTAATCCATACAGGCGTTGGCCCAGCTCGCTTGGGATTAAGTCTTTTGCAGTATTGCTTTGAGTATCGTGTGGACAATAAACCAATGTGATCCCATTAGCGCATCAGACTTCGATAGGTATGGATGGCTATCGCCTACCGCGGAACACCGAATCCTGCACCGGTGGCGTTCGCAACATAAAGTGTGATAAGAGATAAGTGGTCGGCATCAATACACGTTAGATGAGGATGAGAAATATCTCCCGCAAGACAAATGGTGATCTAGCCATAATGGAAAAAGACTTATCGTTCCTCACAACTAGGTTAAATTCTTAAAAGTGGTGAAGAATTGAAACGCCAGTTTCATAGTGTCCGTGCGATTGCGTTTGGCTTGTGGATCACCGAATTGGCTGAAATGTTGATGGACCACAGGAATTTGGGAAGTAAAGGAAACCGAAGCCATTGAGAACAACGGTGCTTTTTTTAACCTATTCAAAACGTGAGTCGGAGAACGGATTCCATGAATGTGACAAGAGAAGAAAGATGGACACTGAAATTTACTCTAACTTATGTCAGGTTGAACATATGCTTGGTGATGCGGCCGGTCCTATGCTTCAGAACTGTTAGCTGTGTCATTTGAACCTGCGTGGAAAGTGGCGCGGCAACTCCGATTATAATCGGACGACATCTAATATGAACTAGTGTTACCAGGATGGAACAGAGCACACGGACTCCGACGACTTTCCAACTGTTGCTGAAGGGTACTGGCGACTCACTCGACATTGGTGTAAAATGGAACTGATATCTGACTGGTAGTCGTCAGCATCCCTATTTTTAGGAAGCGTCAACAGGCAACTCTGCGAAAAATACGTAATATCAGTTGCCTTATTCTTCGGCAGCTGACTAGTCATCGTAACAGTCAGGTTAGCTTCCGCTCCGGTAGCAGGTACATTAGTAGTATATTTTGCCGACTGCCCGAACCTCACCGTAGTTACAAACGGTCTTAGCTTGAAGACTACTTTTGAATCAGTTAGTCAATATTCTGCTGAAGCATGCCGGTGAAGTAAACGGATTTCGGAGTCACTCGCTTCCAACACTGCACTTCATTCTTGCGAGCAAGCATCTCCCCCGGTTGGGTGGAATTTAATTCGCCGAACTGTCGTATTCAAATCTTCGGTGTCCATTGTGACTAAACTGCAAACCCAACTAGTTAAAAACAGGTCGGACGACGAATGCAGCGATCTTCGGACGCGGATGTTATCCTTAGAGATGCGCACCAGATCCCTCATTACGACCTCCGATTGTCGGCGCTCTTCTCGCTTCACCTTCTGTGCCCCGGATGTCCTAAACCAACAAAATGGGCACGTAACCACCTTAGTTGCAGTGCGTGTTCCTATCTGTTCCACCCTCATGCCACGGTGCTGACATTTTAAGACTCCTATGTATAATCGGCTAACCTGGCCTCGGAGAGTTATCTCGAGAATGACGATCTATCGTCGCTGTGAATAATCGAACCGAATCGACACAAGTCATTGAGTAAACTACAACACTTGACTCTCATCGTTGTGATGAGATAAGCTACTAGGAACTGAGAGAGGTTGATGAGGATGTGAATTCATTCCCATCCCCAAATCGGATAGTTCGCTTGTGACACTCGCGTTCGTTCGGTAATGTGTGTGTATGTGTGATGGAGATAGGAAGTCAGAGCCTTGCAAAATTAACAAGTCATAGTGTGTCTCATCAAAAGAACAACGTATCGTCGATCAATACGATCAACTCACAGAGCATGCGTCTTCCAAAGCCTTCACCCCATCGCGTAGTTCATCCACGCTCTGAGCCACGCATATATGGTGCCGGAAATCAGGATGTTCATTTAGCCTAAAGCAGGGTAAGCACGGGAGAAAGTGATCCAAGCATCAAGTTTACAAAGTGAAAAAGCAAGTTAACAAAATAATATGTATAATGTCTAGATTGGCCAGCGAATACATTCTATAAAGCGTATCGCCTAGAAGCATAGGCAAGATTGGCGGTAAGATGCTAACGGACCGCGGTCAGGAGAAGTAACGCGTGCAATTGCGTGATGGCGTTCAGAGTCAGGTTGTTCATACTCGAGCTTCAGAAAACATACGGCCAGTTATGGCCCAACGACACATGGGTAGTCTTCTGATCGTCATCTTGTTGCTTGCATCCTATATGCGTAAGCAACTTGTCTACTCGGGCGAAAGGCGTCTAAGCCTGACAAATAACCGTGATTTGTGCCAATTTAATTTCCAGGTGAAGTACTTGGGTTGTAACACGAACAGTGGATGTATCCATGCGGTACATCATTCTGCACTCGGCAGGAAATCTGCGACCAGATTGGGTCGTTGATTCGTGTGCAGTATTCGTCCGGATACATGTTGCTGAGCCAGCGCAGTTCAGTTGAACTATGGTCAAAGCACAGAGGCGCTTCACCATGACATCAATAATATCTAATTAAGGTGGGGAGGGGGATGTAAAAAGCGGGATATAGTGGGGCGCAACGAAGTCCGGGAAAAAGTGTGGAGGAATTAATCGGTTGGAATGTCTACAACTAAGCGTAAGAGTTAGAATGCAGGAGCGCTACTGATTCCTCTACTGTGCTATGGTATTGGATAAGATCTCCGATCGAAGGCGCAGATTGGTAGCTGCGGCTTAGTCTATGGGTAGTGGATAACAACGACAGGAGCATCAGCTGCCTCCCGGTCATGGACAGGGAGGTTGCGCGACATTTTGAAGGTTATGACTTCAAACTAACCTTTACCTAGTTCATTAATGACACAAACAGTTGGAGAACTGGTAACCAACACCAAACAATGTGTTTGCAAATCCAACGCAGTACCACCCTCCAAATAAAATTACAACCACCGAATGCAGGTACCCAACACCCGGAGATAGGCAAAAGGTGAGATCTAATCGACTTACGCATGGTGACACAGTTTAAACACGTGTCCGCGAACGATAGACATCGCAGAAGGATATTTCTTGGCATATTCCAAATACTCTAAACACATTGTGTACACGGATGGCTGCAGTCCCACAAAGATGGCCGGGTTGTGAAGATGTCCTTCTGAAAATAGGGAATAATAAAACGGAAGACAAGCCAAGGGCAAACGTATTGCTTGGAATCTGTAGGGTTGTGGTTACACACACAAAATGCACAAAGAGGAACAAACAGGCGGCTTAGGGCCAAGCAGATGCATTCGATCTTTAGCAGATAATACGGTTGGGCGCAAAGTCTGGGCAACCGGACACAGTGGAGAGCTTGCGCCTATAGATATGTCCGACCTAGTTCTTCTCTCTACATTTCTTGATGGTTGTTTGAAAGGTATCCCGAGAAAACAAGAACACACCTAGACGTATCCGAGTTTGAGATAAGTTGTCAGCAACGTGTTCGTAAATATTTATGCTTATCTTTATAACGGACACTAGCCCAAAGCCTTCCACCGAAGTATCGCAAAGTGGAAGCATTTAGATGGTATATTGTGGATGACAACACCCTGTCACTCGAAGGTTAAAGGGCAATCTAACTGTGGCGATTCCACTGTTCAATAATGTACGCCGTAACAGCGCTTCGCTGCCACGCGAGCACCACCAGTCGCGCGCGGTCTAAGTATACTGCGAGGACGCCCACCCCTACGCGGATTCGAACCGGGAACCTTATAGTTGCAAACCAGGCGCACAGACCACTCGGCCACCGGCCGACACTGTTCGGTAGACGCTTTATACTCTCGACGTGTAAGGCACCGTACCATACCATCAACATCTTGACCTCACTATGGATCTTCTTCTAGACGTGGTGCTCAGTACAACGGTGCACCGCTAATGAAATCCAGAAGCATATGCGATAAATTGCAACATTTATTACCACAGAATGCCTTCATATTTAGGCTGGAGAGTATCCTATACAACATGATGGTGCAATCCGTTTTCACCGAGCGGCCAGCGTCTGTTTGTGCCGAATCTAAGTCAACAAAGCGTGGATAAGGTGACTTCACAAATTGATGGTCCACAGAGATCGTTCGCTCCACTGATAGAGTTTTAAAGGTTGAACACCATTTGATGAGCAGAGTTCTGAGCCCAGTGTTTGCAACTGTAGCCTTGCGCGGTCGTTGGGGCCGAGAGCGGCTGTCTTTAGTAATGAACACCATGAGACTTGCGCTGATCGCTGTTGGTTCACAACATTTGCGCGACCCAAAATGTACATGCCTTAAGACACAAACGTAGTGCATTGTACCAAGAAGATCTCGGTACTCACGCGTATGGTGGAGTTAATTCGATGCGCTGAAGCTGTCAGGTATCTAATGTGTCTATTACGGTTGGCGCATCCATGGTATATTGAATAAGGCGTACAGTTTGTACGCCACTGGGCACATACAGTGCTTTCTCACTGTCCGATAACGCGCGGTACTTTGCTGTAAGGTTAGAATTCGTAACAAGTTGCTTCTCAAGTCTAAGTTTTGAACCTCTGACCCCACAACCATTGACCGGTCTGGGATGAATAACTAAAGGTGCTTAGAATATACCGTCCAATGTAGGTGAATCGATCGCAAGCCATTGTACCGAGTGAGGGTCAAGTCTCCTCGCGATGATAGCTTTCAACGAACCTAGATACGTGGAGTGCTCTAATAGCACAAACGTATCCGGAATCGTAACAACTTGGAAAGAAATTGAAACGCAGAACAATTTAATTTGTGACCTATAATATCAATGGGAAATACTTACATTTTAACGAAACCGTTTTGCGCATCATATAAAAATTTAATGTAATGTTTATTATGCAATCTTGGTGAGGTTTTCACTGCGATTCGATTGCACCAACGAGGCAGACATTTGTGTGGGGTTGCTCGGGTGTGCAGTTCCATTGGTACAAATGCACGCTATTTTTGATTCGTTGGCAAAAGTCTGGAATTTTTCGTGTTTTGCTCACTGAGTACTGAAAATATAGAGCTAGCAGATATACATCTGTGTTGCTCCATCGCAGTTAGATCGGGCACGTGCACGGAACCAGATCACTGAGTTCTGCGCGATTGCAACATATCTGCGCTGCGAAGCACACCCTAAATCTGAATTCTGCAAAGCAGACATCTAGGAATTGCTTGAATTCGACACCAATTTCGCCCGAACTATTTTCCCAGTGTTTCAACACTCGAAGCATTAAAGATGAGCTACGTGTTTCAGGTCCGCCACTCCGAGCTTGTACCGTTGTCTACGAGTGCCACTTTGTGTGCAAACGCACAGCGGTGTCCTTAACATGGGGCAGTGACCCAGATGCAATATCTGGTGCGACAAACGGGACAACTCGGAGAAGGAGGAATACGCGTTACTAGTCGAACAACGGAAGTACATGAGCTGCAATGTAAAAAGCTGGTCATGTGTTAGGTGAAAACCCGGCGAGCGATTGAAGAAGCGGGAATGCGACATTCACCTCGACTGAAGAATGGAAATGCTGTGCCAACAGAGGTTAAACGCAGTAATCGTGATGTAAGAAAGAGGGTTATATAGAATACTGAAGTAATCTCTTAACTCAAACCGCTCTACTTCGCGAACTGTATGGACGCGTCTTCTGCTGGCGCTCCAGGATATCTGAGACAGTGTCCGATGTTAGAGTAGGGCGTAAAGCAGTGTAAGCAATATCGTCTGTGCAACCATCCTTCGGGAGTTTTCGTGCTGATATTAGCAAATCCCCGTGTAGCGTAGCTAAGGTTTCTGTTAGAATCCGCTGGTTGGACATTGATCCAGCAAAATCTCCTGGAGGGGCGAGGCGGTTAATGAAAACGTTCTCTACCATCAGGTAGTTTCACACGAGTGTAATGAGGCTTGTGTTTCGAAAACCGGTCCATTTGTCTGAGTAAAGCTGGGCTGGAAACTGTCAGCTAGGATGACATTGAAGACCCATTAGTTGATCATCGCGCGAAGCAGGAAAGTCGTTCATGAAGTGTGGCGTTCGTAGTGGGAACGAATCGAGTGCAGCGCATCCATGAGGTTAAATTCCCACTACGAGATTGCTAGGTTTCTAGTTTTCAGAGACAGTGAAATAGTTTCACAGAGTGCACCACTCAGGCGTTCCACTTGACCGTTGGCTTGTGGATGGTAGGCAGTTGTGTGGCTAGTTGCCACTCCTTTAGTCCGATGACATAAACGAGGACCCGCGATCGGAGTGTAAATCAGAGGGCACACCGAGAGAACAGCGGACAATTGACGACAGTAAAATTAAACATATCTGGGCACGGGAATGCATATGGGAACCTGGAGAGCTCATCGATAATAGCAAGTGGTTGTGGGCTGAAGTCCATGCTAAGCCGTTGAAATGGCTGCGTGGCTTTTATGAGTCGGCCCATGGGAGGTCTACAGAACTGAGGTTTCAATGCTGCACAAAGAGTACACGTTGAAGTCATGCGTTTGACATCTTCCGCGGAATAGGGTAGGAACGAACAAAATGAATCATCCTAGTTACTCCGGGGTAGCGTAATGTATCATGCATATCCCTCATTTTCGGATCGTTCAAGTTAAGGACACAAGTAGAGCGAGAGAGTGCATCAACCAGTTGATTATCTTTCCCAGATCTGTAGATTATATCGTAGTGATAAGTAGACAATTCCAGTCGCCACCGGTAGGTTTTGTCATTTTTGATCTTACTGGAATGTTTAACGCCATACATGAGAGCTACGGATCATTGATCGGGGATAATCTTGAAGTGTATTCCATGGTGGTATTGGCGCCACTTTCGAGAAGGTTTCATAATTGCACACACTTCCTTTTCAACGGCTGAATGATATTTTCACTGGAAGACAGGGTGCACGAGAAATAGGTCACTGGTCAGTTGTTCTGACTCAGTGATGCACCGACGGTTATGTCGGATGCATTCGTTTCAGCAAACAAACGAATACTACCATCGACCGTCACAACCATAGCATTTTCTAAGGCCAGTTTGAGCTGCTCGAATGCACCTCGAACATGCGAAGGAGCAGGAAACCCTCGGTTTTTCACCAGGAGATTAAGTTTGTCCAAAAATGAGGGAAGCCACTGAGAGTAGTAAGCGAACATTCCGACAACTCGTTTTTGAGACTTCATGTCAGTAGCCTTATTTCATTCTTGGACATGTAGTAACCGAGCAGTTTGGTTTTGTCAGAAGCCGTGACGATAATGGCGTACTTAAATGCTGCTTTCAAACACTATTCCAGGTAGTAATCGTGGTAATGTCACGTGACCCCACATAATGTTACACTGTCAGTGTTGACAAAAGTGCTGTTGAGGCTTTTCACTTTCAGTATCTCGTCGATCGTACGCTGTAAACAGGCTACACCATTAAGAACTCCAAAGGGAATACAACAAAATTGAAGAAAGATTTCCACGGGCTTCAAAATCTGTGTAAGCCTTTTCATGTTCAGCGATAAGCATTTTTCAGATCTATTATACTATGTGCGGCATAACAAGAAATGGTCCCCGCCATTTTGTCAACTCGTGATAGTGGGTACGCTTCAAGTTGGATGAAACGATTGACCGTTTGGCTGTACTTGACAACCATCCTTTTTTATGATTTACATTTTTGTTAACAAGTACTTATACCATCCAAGACGAGTTTGACGGTTCAATGATGCCGTCGTTCAAAAGGCGTTGTACTTCGACTTTTATGAAGCGCTCGTCGTCAAGTGAGTAATGTCAAGATTCGGTAGAAACGGCTGGCAATCTGAGGAAAGGTGAGCAAACAGGGGAGGCGATTCTACTTTGGCTGCGGTGTGTCCACACAACAAGAAAGTACCGCGTCCACAACCAAACGATATTCACTTTGTTATGCAATCCAAGAAAATCGTGACCGAGCAGAATATCGGCGCATAGATTATGCATAACAGAAAGCGGAAAGTCGTGTACAATGTATTGCTAGCGAATCTGCACATTGCAATATCCGATAATTGCACATGACAGTGAGGTAGAGGTCATGGTAATTTTGGAATCACAGGGAAGGACGTTCCAATATTGGGAGTTGACTACAGATTGAGAAACATAGCTGTCAGAACTGCCGGGCATGCAAGCCGATGTTGTTAACAAGGACCTTCGTTGTTGTGC